CACGGTGCTGCTGCGGTGGGTGTCGCGAGGCCCTCGGGAAGCCCCAGTGCTGCACAGGGCAGCTCACCCCGAACCCCCGGTTAGCGACGCGCCCGCTCGCTTGGGTTCAGTCCCCGGAAAGGTGACACCGGTAGCGGTGTGTTTTGGCAGGGGTGAGGAGCAGGGCTTGTGCTGTCCCAGCACCATCAGTTTTGTGGCCGCTTCTCATGGCGGGAGGTTCTGGCGTGTCTCCGGGAGCTGGGCTCCCCTCCATGTCCGTGTGCCGGGGTCAGGGTGGATTAAGGCCTTGGCATGTTGGGGAGGGGATCATGCCGGGATGCCACGTGCCAGCTCCTAGCACCGCTGGCACCGTGCAGCCACCCAGGGACAGGTCATGTTCGGGGCTGACTCCAGGCCCCCCCAAATCATCTGGAGCAGGGTCCTCCTGGGCCAGCTGCCTGCAGGGCTGGATGTCTCTCACCTTGCTGGGAGGGACCAGCATGAAGATGGCTCTGGGAGCCCGCAGCCACCTCCCGTGGCACCATCGGGGCACCAGGAGCACCCCTGGGGATGTGTTGGCTGTGAGGCTGGGCTGGCTCCCAGCCTGGTGTGATGCCGAGCATCCCAGATGACACAGGGTGTCATTTGCCCATAGGAACTCTCATTTGGGACATTACCTTTGACACTGCAATGCGTACTGAGGCAGCCTGTCCCCTGAGCCCTCCCCAGCTCAGGGCAAGCTGCACCCGGAGGTGCCAGGGCAGAGCCACATGTGGTGATCCTATGACTGTCCCTCCACAGGGGCAGAGGCCAAGCGTGGCACCGGGGTCCACATGCCCCTGCCCCTCTGCTGAGCTGAGGGGAGTTCCCCCAGCTCTGCTGTGGCATTTGCAAAGCTCCCGGAGGCAGCAGCGACTGGTGTCCCCAGCTCTGCTGGCCCTGGGCTCCCCAGGGCTGGGTCTGGCTCTCCAAGGAGGACGGTCCCTGCAGGAGCTGCCTGAAATGACCCAACACAAAGCCCTGGGAATGTGCCCTGCGGAGATGGGATTTGCCCCGCAGCACCCCAGCAGCATCCTGCCTGCAGCTGCGCCAGCTCGCCTCCCAGGCACTTTTAAACAGTGTCCGGCTTTGCGGGTTTGATGTGTCTCTTATCGGCTTTATCTGCCATGGAGAGGGGCTTTAGATGCAGTGATACGCAGTGCAAGTTAACCCTGCCTCTCCCAGCCAGCCACTGCCCACTGGGCCCCAGCGTGCCCACCCAGGCGAGCTGGCCACCGTGGCAGGGGGCTGCTGAGCCCCCCAGAGCTGCTTCACCCTTCTCGACAGAGCTGCTCCCAAATGCAAGCCCTTTTTTTCTTTTCTAATAACACATCCCGGACAACGCCGTAATCCTGGCTCCCCAGAGCCAAAATCTGGCCTTAGTCACAGCTTCAAGCTATTTTTGCTTCTCCAAGCTAATCCTGGGTTGAGCTGTGCTGTGGCAGCCCCGCTGCACCTCCATCACACCAGGGCTGCCTGTGGCTGGCATCCCCACCTGCCCGCAACCTCCTCTGCCCTTGCCCTGCCCGCACTGTCCTGGCACGGCTCTGTCGGTGCACGGGCGCTGTAACCTGCCATGGGGTCCCCACCTTCGCTGGGAGAGGGGGCAGATCACGTCCGCCTGCTGCTGGTGCCTGGGCTGTGGGGGCGTGGGGGTGCTGGGCTGGGACCCCGTGGGCTGAAGACTGTGTCAGGGCTGGGGACACCCTGGTCTGCACCGCAGCCCGGTGCCTCTGGGCTGGCAGTGCCTGGCCAGGTTTGCCGCTGCTCCGGCTAAGCTGCCTGAGCCCCGGGGGGAGGTGGGAGCAGCAGATGGCGAGGGGGAGGCATGAATCGCCTCGCTCGGGATCGCAGCTCTGGCGATGGGAGCCGGCAGCTGGATCTGGGCTCCTTCCCCTTCCAGTGGGGTCAGGGGCTGCGGTCCTGCCCGGGACAGGGCCTGGGGGGCGGCAGGGCAGGGCAGGAGCCAGCCCTGGGGGCAGCTGGACGGAGACCTGGCTCCGCTTCCCAGAGGACCTTGTGGGGGACCAGGAGGGCCGCGCTCCCCTTCGAGGCCCCCAGGGTGGCCCTGAGCCCTCAGGGGTGGCTGTGTCTCCTTTCAGACAGCAACTTCATCCTGGCCAACGCGCAGGTCCGCCGCGGCTTCCCCATCGTCTACTGCTCCGACGGCTTCTGCGACCTCACCGGCTTCGCCCGCACGGAGGTCATGCAGAAGAACTGCAGCTGCCGCTTCCTTTATGGAGCTGAGACCAGCGAGCCCGTCCTGCAGCGCATCGAGAAGGTGCTGGATGGCAGGCAGGAGTACCAGACCGAGGTCTGCTTCTACAAGAAGGGTGGTGAGTGGTGCATGGGTCTGGATCCCTGCCCGCGGCTCTGGCTGGGGCTTGTCCCTGTGCCGGACCTGGGGTGAAGCGGTCGAGCAGCAGGGACGCTGTCCTGCCTTCACCACCCCTCTCCTCTGCGCAGGAGCTGCCTTCTGGTGTCTGCTGGACATCATGCCCATCAAGAACGAGAAGGGGGAGGTGGTGCTCTTCCTCTTCTCCTTCAAGGACATCACAGAGAGCCGGGGCAGGAGCCACCTGGGTGACAAGAAGGAGGGTGAGCCGTGCCTGTGGGATGGGGACAGGTTTTGGGGAGCGGTGTGCCCAGTGGGCGCATGGCAAAGGGGCTCCCGGTTCCCTGCTGGGTCCTGTCCGCCTTTGTGCACCCGTGCGAGGAGGGGTCCCCGAAGTGGCCCCTGCTCTGTTGCACCAGCAGTGCCACAGCACTCCCACTAACCCAGCGTGTCTTGTCCTCTGCAGAGAAGCAGAGGTGGGATGGGGACAGGTTTTGGGGAGCGGTGTGCCCAGTGGGCGCATGGCAAAGGGGCTCCCGGTTCCCTGCTGGGTCCTGTCCGCCTTTGTGCACCCGTGCGAGGAGGGGTCCCCGAAGTGGCCCCTGCTCTGTTGCACCAGCAGTGCCACAGCACTCCCACTAACCCAGCGTGTCTTGTCCTCTGCAGAGAAGCAGAGGAGCAAGAAGCCCGGGAGCTCACACCTGCGGGCAGCGCGCAAGCAGGGCCGGACGGTGCTCCATCGGCTCAGCAGCCAGTTTGCCCGGGGGGACCGCAGCGAGATGAAAATCAACCGCGTAAGGACCTGGGGGAGCCCTCAGCTTCGCCGGGTGCCTCCCAGCCGGGGCTGCAGGCACGCAG